AGCCACATTGTTAAAGTCCATACATAATACACCGTGGAAGGATTTTCATATGTCTGACTTTTATACATAAGTGTTGTTAGTGTAGTTGTTCTCAACCTGATCATTTTTTCAAGGTAAAAACGTAGATGAGACATCAGTACTTAAATTTAGATATGATCTGGGCTTATGTACATATGCAGTTAGTCTCTGTATAAGTTTAAATTTTACCTTTATATGAATAACTTCTAGTCTAGAAAGCCCTCCTTTAAGTTTCAGGAGGAGCAGAATGTTAAAAGAGTACTTCTTGTATATATAAAAGAGAGTACTACTTGTATAGAGAATATTGGTTTATGAGAAGAGAGTGAATGATTTGGAGTGAGGGATGGGAAATAAAATATTTCTGGGCTTATCTAAAATAGTATAAGATGGAAGAGAGAGCACTTACAGCTGAGATGGCTGGGCATTTCCTTGTCTCCCTCGCTCAGACCTGGGTGTAAGCAAATTTTTCCCATAAACTAACCTGTGCGTTTTAAATGTATGTTTTAACACTCTCTGTGTATATAAAAATAATTGCGTAGATTATGAAAGTTCTAATTGTATGGAATATAAAAGTTATGCCTGTCTGAATGTCTTGGTCCAGATGTTTTTTCTACACTTTACGTCCGTGTGCTAGTATGACATTTCATCATCCCCCTGCTCAGGCATGGGGGAAGCCTCATTGTGCTCTGAAGTCCATGGGAGATCATGGATGCGGGGATTGTATTTATTCCATAGGATTGCCACAGTGGAACAGAATCAGGGCTGAGAACCTACCTCCAATATTGTCCATCTCCTTAGCTCTGAGAAATAGCATTGGTCCTCAGACTGAAAAATGTAGGCTTCTCTGGTCTTATGGACGCCATTATTTTTGACCCCACTTTCCTTACTGGACATGTTCACTCCCAGACTTTGTGGGCTTTCCACCTCCCAAGTGACAGAGAGGTAAAACCCCTGAACACAGTAGATGTTGAGTGAAACTGGAACAGTGCTGACAACCAGCATCCTTTCTGCCTGCTCGTAGCAACATAGTACAATAATCCTGAGCAGAAAAGAATTACAAAGAACAGATGTGTATAATGGGTCTTGTGTGCATTTGCAAATTACTGATCTACTGGAACATCATTTGTTCATTACGCTGCTTTCACTGACCTGAGAACAGAAACATGTTCTGGGGCTGCACAGACCTTTGTGGGGAGAGGGCCTGCAGTATGGTTGATGTGGGTACCACACTGTGAACTTGAAAGCTACTGTCTGTGCCTTTTCTGGAGAGTTGGGAAGTAGAACTTGTGAATGATCATCATGTTTAGTCGTTTATATTGTGTATAGATTAGACGTGTATATCTCTGTTTATAGATTAAGTGATGCATGTTAGAAGGAAGTGTTTAATGTTGGATCTGTTTGTCAAGTCTTAGTGCGGTGATGGCTTAAGTTTTTTTGTGGACAAGTGAAGGTGAGTAGCTCAATGTTCTTTATTGTTCTTTCTAAAAGCAGTATAAAATATCCATTGCATCTTCTGATTCTTGCGGAAAATAAACTATTTGATGGACTGTCATTTAACAGTTCATTACTAGCATAATTTTGCTTATGGTAAGAGTTTTGGGCTGACTTTCTAAGGAAACAGTCTGACAGTGCATTTGTGGTTCCCCTTATTGTCTCTCCTTCCTCCTGCTTGAATAATTTCTGAACTCATTGGTCAATGTCAATCGAATTTGTTAGAGTTCAAAAAATTGCTGAGATATCTAAGTTCCTACAAATACGAGTATCAGTAGTTTGTTAGAGAGAAATTACTGCTTTCATGAAGGGAATGGCACAGAGCTCAGTTTACCCATTCTGTTTTTCTGTCAGCTTTCTGGTCAGTTGGTTCCTACATAATTTTTGTTTTGTCCCGCTATGCGTTCTTGCTTGTTGGGGGTGTCGGGAGGAACAAGGAAGGCAGAGGAGTTAATGCTGTTATGGAACTGGTAGAGATTAAGGTACGAGGAATGCAGATCTAAACCAACTTGTTACTGTTTCAAAATAATGTTGCAAGTTGAAATGTCAGTGCTTGTATTTCCATTACAGTAATTTACAAATATATGATAAATTTATAATATAATGACTATACCAGATGCTTTTCTAATACATAATACCTGGTCTCCATCCCAGAGATCTTCAGCCCAAAAAATAGAATCATAGAACAGCCTGGGTCAGAAAGGACCTCGAGAGATTGTCTGGTCCAACCTTTCATGAGAGAGGGAGCCTAGATGAGATTATCTAGCACCCTGTCCAACCACATATTGAAAACCTCTAGGGATGGGGACTCTACCATATCCCTGGGGAGGTTTTTCCAGTGATTGATTGTTCTCACTGTAAAAAATTTCTTTCTTATATTGAGACGAAACCTCTCATGGTGCAACTTGTACCCATTGCCCCTTGTCTTCTCCATGTGGTTCCCTGTGAAGAGAAAGCCTCTGTCCTCTTTGTAGCCGCCCTTTAAGTACTGGACTACTGTGATGAGGTCCCCTCTGAGCCTTCTCTTCTCCATGGAGAAAACACCTAACTCCTTCAGTCTTTCCTTACAGGGCAGGTTCTCCAGCTCTTTGATACTTAAAAAACTATGAAGTCAGTATTGGAATGCTGTGAAATTCCTGATCTCTTTTAACCTTCATTTTCATATATAACAAACCCTGAGCTGTTGGAATCAACTGTCCACAGTTGCAAAGTTTAATTCCTGCAGTGTTAGAGCCCCTGATGTCACCTTGGGCATGTAAAGTGAAACCTCTGGTTATGGAATTTGGGTGTTAGATTGGCAATAAAAAGCAAACTTAAATTACTTTCTTACTGGACTATGTTGATCTTTCTCTCCCTCTGTTTGCTTCCTATTGTATGTCTGTCTGCAGTCTATTTAATTTTGTTTTTCAGTCTCTCAAGTTTAAACATAGCTTTCTGCTCCTTTTCTCCATTTTACCCATCACTATTTAATCTGCTTACTGCTAACTCCTTTTCTTTTTTTTTTTTCTTCTCCACAAGCTCTTTAGAATGGTTTTATGTGTTCTTTGGCATCTAGCACAGGCCTAGTCTTGAAACTTCCCACTCCTTCCCCTCTTTCTGATGTGTTCAAGGTAAAGGAGGAATAAACTACCAATTCCTTTGGAGTACTAGTAAGCTGTGGAGGAGTATCTTCCCTTAAGTGGCTAAATATTTGCAATCCTCTTATGCACTCTTCTGTCCCAGTATTTTCAATGTTTAAGTTTTCTTACCTTGCAAAAAAAACCTAAACCAAACCAAACCAAACACTATCACCACCCCTCCCCAACCCACCCTCTAGTTCTCCTTTGCAAGTCTCGTTCTCCCATTGCTGCCCCAAGTGCTTTTCCTGTCCTTCTGCAGACTCTGGGAAATTGAAGTAGGAAGAGAATCTGTGCTGTGCTGCTCTCTCTCCTGTTATCTTTTTAACACTTGAGTATAAAAACTGCTTGTGCTGTAAGGTTCAATAGTACACGTGTGGAAGTTCAGAGAACTCTTCTCTTGCGCCCCCCCCGCCCCAGGATTTGCTTGCAGTTTTAAAACATGGAACCAGAGTACAATAAGAAAACAAAAGCAAAGATTAAAGTGCTGATCTTCTAGCACTTAAGAAATGCTTTTGAAAGAGCCATACTACTAAGATAGCTTATTCTGAAAACACTGTATCAGTGTGTGATTTTAAACTTTTGAGATAATGCTTGCTGTGCGTGAAATTAGTATCGCTGTGTTACCTGGCATTTGGAAGAAGGTTTCTGAGTCATGTACCATGCTTGGTTGCTCTGCCAAATAATGAGAAAAAAATTCAGTATTTTTTTTATAGTTCTCTAAATTACAACCGATGGGGAGACTCGCTTACAAAAGTGCTGTGGGTTTTTCTGTAGTGACATCTGTGGAGTGTATATATAGTAGGTTCCCAAGTTGGAAGCCAGAAGAGTATGTGGGAAGTGTGAAAGGGGGATGGGGAGGGGAGCAAACAAGAAATGCAGACAAAAGGAAATTGTTGATGCAAGTTAAGGCCTTTTCTTAGCGATATTGATAAATTTCTGCTGCTGTTCAAGCAGTTTAAATTATTCTCCTCCTGATTCTGTTTTCTTTTGCTTTTTTCCTGTTGCCTGGAAAACATGAGTGGAATCTAGTAGGACAAGAGGCTGCTTTTTCATTGTTTTGTGGCTCTGTTGCTAGCTATTGTCCTCTTGGCTCAGGCAGTTCATGTCAGTCTTTGTGTGGAGTAAGAAAAATGTTTTTCCTTTTTTCTTTAAAGATTAAGTTTCTAGACTGTGTAGATTGCTTTTATTTGAAAAGCAAGCAGTGCTAACTTAAGAGTATCTCCTATCAACTAACATATTTTTCTTGCGATGTCACCTTTCGCACTTTTTTCATTTGGATGTGCTTATTAAATTTGTGGGCTAGTTTGGGGCTAAAGCAACCTTGAAATCTAGTTTCATTTTTTCATGTACTTTGTTTAAAACAAAGGAACTCTAAGCAAGACAGCACATTTAATGAATTTTTCTGTCAGGAATAAAAAACAGATCGCTGACAATGTTGTATGTTTTCAACAGTTGGAAATAGAGCCAATTTTGCTCTTAAGTAGGAGCAGAGCTCTAACACCCGGTAAAGTAATGCAGTCTTGAGCAGTGTCACTGAGGTCTTGTCTGTTGTGGCTGACTTAACTCTGTTCTTTACTACATCACTGATTATTTATAAATGAAGATTGGTTTTGATGACATTCTTGAAACAGAACTGAAATGTAGCTGTTTGCTAGTATGAAAACATACTTACGCATGTATGGGATAGTGCAAAAAATGAGACATTTAGTTCTCTTGTAGGTAACAGTTCTTGCAGGTTGTATTTATATGATTCTACTTCTTCATTGCCTTTATTTTTGCTGTACTAATTGATTATATGGTTGTACAGAAAATACATTGAAAATGGAAGATATTATAACTGTTTGATTATCTGCTGATTTTTTTCTTTTTCAGGCATCTATCAACAAGCTAAAAGTGACAGAACCATGGCTCAGTTTCCAACACCTTTTGGGGGTAAGTTGTTTATAGTGTATTCTGAACTATTCTTATCTGCAAAAATTCTGCATAAATGTGTTGCTTTCTGAATATGTTCTATATGAATAGTGTTTATCTGTATGAATAGTGTGTATCTTTCTGAGATGATAGTTTATCTGATTTGTGATGTTTTTGCAGACCCATTAGAGAACACACATGAAATTTTGCAGAGATATTTCGGAAGAGTCAAACAGAAAAGCTGTGCTGTATCCCTTTTTGTGCATTGATCCGTTACAATCCTATAGTTCGTAACTGTGGGGCAGATCCAGGCCACTCAGCCACTGGCAGTAGGGCATAGCTTCATTCTGCCGTTACCCAGTTTTATTTGCCTGTCTTAAGCTTCCCTATTCAGTCCTGCCTGCTTTTTTCATATTTTTTTCAGAAGAAACTCTAAAATGCTATTTAAATATTTTAAGTTCTCACTTTATAAGCACTAGTTGTGGCTGAGAAGTGGATATGCCTTTTCTTTGACGATTCCTGGACTTTTTCTTTGCTAAAAAGTACAGCAGATGCCTTTGAAGCTTGAAGTTGAAGCTATTACTTCAACTTTAATTTCCTTATTGTCCCATAACCCATGTTTAGATTAGAACAACGGTGCTGCATTTTTTTAGCTCGCCATTTATAACAGGGGGAGGTATAGCATGTTGAACTTTAGTCTTTTTGAAAGATCTGAGAAGGGCCCTGGTAGTGCAATAGAGACATTACTTTTTGCAATTCACATGAAATACATTTTTAAGCCCATTTTTGCAACCGATGTGAAGAAAGATTACAAAGATAAATTTCAGTGCTGATAACTAGTAACAGTTTGGTTCCACTTAAATGTTGCATCTGTTACGGGCTTTTCTCTGGAGATGCGGATATGATTGATATGATTCTTGTTGTGTGCATATGTATGTTTATGTATACGTGTATACACATATATATGCATACACACACAAAAAAGTGTGTGCGTGTATATGTATATAAATATATATGGAAGTGTAGTTTTTGGGATCAGATATAGCTAGGAATTAAATTTGTATCTAGTGTTAGTGTTTCAGTGGGAGACTTCAGGAAGAACGCGTGTTATTCAGAGTATGCTGTTAGAGGAACCCAGTTCTTGTTGAACACAATTGATCGGATGCAATCTCTGCCAGTCTGAAAAAGTCCGTGAAGCACAACAGAAGAAGCATCTCTTTGCATGTGGTAGCTAGAACAAACATATAATTGGAAGCTGCTATTCATTGTCTCAGTTATCTTTAAGACCAGCCTTCTGGAATTAAATCTTGTTTGGTGCCAGACTTTTTCAGTTTGGGAGCGAAACTGGCTGCCAAAAGCTTCGATCAAATAAACTCACTGGACAGTTTCATGTAGGATAGCCTTTCAGGTCATATAAAAAGTTGTGAATAACTTCATTTCACCCTAATTTTTACAGTCTAAGAGAAGTCATGATGTGAATGAAATCCACGCGTTCAGACTGAATTATTTCCTTTTGTTTAGAGTTAGTGCTGTGCTTTGCATGTGCCCATATTTAAACACATACATACGTTCTTAATGGAAATCTTGTCTTCAAAGCATTCTCCTCTGCCATCTTCAGAGTTCTCATTGCATTACAGATGGATAGCAGCTTTCTTTTTTCAACTTTATATATTACCATTTGATCTTGCATATGTTGTCCAGGATGCTGTTAACTCGAGTACATGGCTTTAGGAAGGAAGGAATTCACTATTTCTTCTCAAACAACTTTTCTCATCTGATTGCTCTACAGCGAGGAAGTTGAAATAAGCACGTGGCTAATGTAGTTTCTGGAGTATCTTTAATTTGTAATGTGGTGTGAGGGAAGTTTGTTATGATATTCATACTTGAACCAAGTCTATCAAGTAGCATCATACCTCCTCTTAGAAGAATGACAACAAAAGTCTAAGATTGTTGTAAGAGGAAACAAATGGTGTAAAGAAAATTCCAATTTTTGTGGGAAAATTTATCATCCTTTTGAGAATGCAACATTTTCTGTTACCTGTAGTCACCAAAAAAGATGCAGAGGAGAAGATTTATGCAGTCTCCATCTTGGGAGAGCCCTCACTCCAGATGTGCAATATCTGGTACGCCTCTGCTTGTGAATACCAAAAATGATGGTTTTGTTTTTATTTCTCTTCCTTTCTTTTTAAAGAGTCTTTTAAGTCAGCTTTGGAAATGGGTATGGAAAGAGCACAGCACCCACTATTTAAATTGGGGTGACTTATTGATATTCCAGAACACTGCTTGTTTTAAGGATGACTAATTAACAAAAAAATAGGCATGGTCGGATTTCTGTAATTGTTGGGAAGAATGTGGTGTGCTCGACCTTCTGTCGATTTGTCCAGGAGAAGAAAATGCCCATTTCATATATGAGTGCCCACTGCTTCACTTCTGCAGATGAGGTGATTGCTAAGCCATGTAAAAGAAAAGATGGTTAGAGGTCTTGCTGCTGCATTCAAGAATAGCTTGCTTATCAGTCAATTTTGTGGTTTCATGACTGCCTCCTTTGTATCCAAATATATTGAAAAGCCCCACAACCTCTGTGTTGGCATCCAGGATCTGAAGCCATGAATGATGTCTTGGTGTTGGGTAAGATCCTGCTTCATGCCCTCCCGTAGGTCTTATTGTTTCCTCAAATAACAAAAGAGGGAAACGAGGCAACGCCAGAGATGCCATTCATACTTTTCTGACTGAAGAAGCTACTAGGTTTCCTTGGTTTAATGTTGGCTCTTTTGATGTTCGTATCCCACAAAGGAGATCTACTGTTTCAATACCAACCAAATCTCCATCTAGAAGAGTAAATATTACAATCATTTGTTCTAGTCAAGGACTCCAGAGAAGAAATCAACAAATTTTGTTTTAAAGTAGTTAATAGAATACATTTTTAGTTACCTCATGACATAAGAGTTTTTAGTTCTCGGTTTTATTGCCTTCTTTGCGAAAGGATAGAAGGAGCTGGGGTTTTTTTTGTTGTTTTTTTGGGGGTTGGTGTTTTTTGTTGGGTTGGGTTTTTTTGGTACTGGAGTCATGCATATCTCAAATTGAGAGAGCAAGCCAGAGAATCATTGCAGATTTCATGTTGGTTGGTTTGGTTTTTTCCTCCCCACGTTATATTCAAGAAATTCTCCTTCTTTGTGTAAGCTACCACATCCAGCATTAGGATCTTAGGCTGGAGTAGTCATGTTTCCAATACAGGGAGATGTTCATCTGCTCCAAGTTGGCCTAGGCTAATTGGCCTAGTCTGCATATTGGTCATAAAGTCTTAATCAACACCATTCCTTTCCTCCTGTCAAGAGTTCATGAGAAGATGGGGGAGATAATTGCTTACGTGAGCTATTGTGTTTTGGGATGTTCATATCCAAAGAAGTGTCCTGTTTCATCCCCACAGGGAGCACAGCTATGAAATTTGTTTACAGTGCCTCTGTGAGCTTAATCACTAAAATTCTGGGATTGTTTGACTAATCTTAAAACGTCCTTTCTTTGAATTAGATATTATTAGCCTGTCTGCTTTTAGAAATATATAGGTTACCTAAAACTGAGATGATAATTTTTTACCAAGAATGTAGCTTTTCTTTCATTGATGAAATCTACCATGTTTTTCTTCCCCTTGTCCATTTCCTTTTCTCTCCAAAGTACACTTTGCCACATAAAAGTAGATTTTAAATAGAAGAAATTCAGGAGGCAGGAAATTCTCGTGTTCCTCATAACTGCCGAGTCTGATTCTGCCTCAGCCTGCAAGCAGTTTGAAATACTTGCTGTAAATATTTGTGGACCTTATTACCTGAAACTTAATCTCTGAGAATTTAGTGCTGAGACAGAGCGAATGCTAGATTTTATCTTTTAATATTACTTCAATAAAACAGTGATTCCATTAACTTAGATGCCATCGTATCATTATGTTCCTATACAGTAGGAGTACAGGAAGGTGCAGCAGCAGTGTAATATTCTTCAACTTCCATGGATGTTGAAATCATGATGTTTTACTGGTTAGAAATTGTTGAGACAAACCCGAAACACAGTGTTAAAGAGTTCATTGGAGGTCTCAAGTGGAAGCTGAGATGTGTTTGCTCTGAGTACAAATAATTTGAAGGGTGAAAGTGAAATGTCTGCGAGAGAAGAGAGGAAGTGCTGCAAAAATGGAGGTAGAACTGGAGAAAGCATTGTGGAAGCATGGCATTGTAGAAGGGTAGTAAATCTCAAGTTTAACTTAATATTCACCTCCAATTTATGAGTGTTGTGTGAAGAATCTGGTCTTTGTAACATATTCTTACTTGGATTTCTCATTCTCAGAAGAATGAGGAGCACGCTTTCCTGTGCTATTGTTGCCATGAAAAATGTTTACTATCTGGTTGAATCACACTTTTCCTAGACAAGTAAGGAGAGTTCTTCTCTTATGATAGTACAAAACCACATAGTGCACAACTGATTATTTGAGGTACCTTTTTGGTTAAAAGAACTTGAATTGCATTTCAGCTGTATGTTCTTTGAGAGGCAAATGACCTCCCACCCCCTAAATATCTAGTGTTATGAATTTTCTGCACTTTATCCTCTGGTATGCTGATGTTGTCTTTTAATAGCCCATTTGTAAGTTTGATTGCACTTTGAATAGCCTAGTTGTAACTCAAGATTCGTATGAGTCAGATGAGTGAATCAGTGCTCAGCAGTCGTGTTAATTTGGTAACACTTAGTTCTGGTAAGTTCATAAGTCCTAACCAGCTATTTAAGGATTCATGGAGCTTTCAACTATAGGCTTTGGATAAATGGCTTCTGTGTGTATGTTGTTTTCAGAGGCCCAGTATGATATGATATAATTATATTCAGAAATAAAAATAATGTAGTTTTTAGATAATGTGTCTTAGTTTTATTTCTCCATTTCTTTTGAACTAGGCAACCTGGATATCTGGGCTATTACTGTGGAGGAGAGAGCTAAACATGATCAACAGTTCCATAGTCTGAAACCAACATCTGGATTTATTACTGGTAATGAAATAGTTTTAACTTCTAATTTCATTTAATTAAATCTTAACTAACAAGCCTAAATATGTATAGAGTTGCCTGGGAGACATGAGAATTTAAAAAATTGAACAGATATTACTCATTTTATATTCCGTTTTTCATATGTCTTACCACATCAACTCATCTTTTCTGATATTTTTCTGATATTTACCAGCTATACAACTGGTTTATGCCACTTGGTTTTTCTGTAAGTAGGATTAAAATAAAGCTCTATAAAGCAGTGCTACTGTGCAGAGCCAGCTGATACTTACAAGCTGTAGAGTTAGTATTCATGGTGTGGAATCACCCTGATGCCTGGTAGTATTTATAGTGCTTTTAATGTGCTCAGTAAATTAACTCGCTGTACTGGCTCTGGCTGAGATGGAGTTAACTTTCTTCATAGCAGCCTGTATGGTGCTGTGTTTTGGAATTGTGACTAAAGCAGTGCTGATAACACATCAACGTTTTGGCTATGGCTAAACAGTGTTTGCAAAGCCTCTCTCCTGTACCACCATGCTCAGCAAAAACTGGGCGGGGGGGCTGTTGTCTTCCAGGTTAGCCATTGCCAAGAGACTGAGCGTGAGGGTGGTGATGAGTGACTACCTTTGCATCACTTGAAGTTTTTTCTTAATCTTTCACTTATTAAACTGTCTTTATTGTGACCAACGAGTTTTTTGAGTTTTCTCACTTTTGCGCTCCCTATTCTCTTCCCCATCCTGCTGGGGGGAGGGAAGTGAGTGAGTGACTGGGTACTTAGTTTCTGCCTGTGGTCAACCCACCATGCTAACATACTAGTAGATTAAGAAGTCTGTTTAAATAAAGATGTTTCAATTTAACTGAAATCTGTTTCAGAAACTGGTTGTTTAAACTAGTGAAATCAGTGTGGATGACCTCTTTAAAAAATCTAAATGGCAAAATCTATTTAAGTTGTGGGAAGCAAAGCTGCAAGTAAAGGAATTGCACTAATCCTACTAAATTTTCATTGAACACCACTAATTTGCTTTTGTTTTAAAGGCAATAGGATGCCTACTTTTTTGTTAGTTTTGTTTAATTTAATTTTCTTTAGTGCTATCTAAACTCTGATGCTCGATTGAAATGAAAGGTATAGAAGTGTTTTACCTTTCTCACTGTCTGATCCATCAGGAGGATTTCCAGAGTGTGAAATCAGAATCGGATTCTTAGCAGTCTCATCACAGCCATACATGCCTCCAAGTATACAGTTTGATTGTTTCTACTCCTGCTACATGACAGATATAGTAGAAAATACTGCTGTTTTTATTGATCTCCTTTGATATTTAGTGCTATTTCTAGTCTGTTTACAACTTTCCTATACAGGCCACAACATTTCCAAGTGCCTAATCCTTTTGTAATTTTTTGCTATCCTTACTTTTTATTGATAGTTGGAAAATGGCTTTGAAATATACCATTGCTTTCTTTAATGGTGGCTTATCAGGTTCACATCAGGGTAAAGACCACTTTATTTAGTTTGTGCTAGCTGGCTGGCATTGTACTTCCAAAAAATCTAAGATAAGAGTTTATATTGATACATACTTTCTCTGGAAGAAAAAATTTTCTTGTTCTCACAAGGCATATGATTCCTGCAAAGAGAGCCATTAACACAGATTAGGGACTGTGAACCATGAGTTTCCCATTGCCCTAAATGTTTATGCCCAGTTGACTTCGTGTGATGCTGACTGTTGCAGACTTAAACAGTACGTGCATGTTGGAAATATCTGGTAGGTTTACAAGTGACAAAGTAAGTCTATTATGTATGTGTGGCATTAAGTATTTATGGTTTTACTGTTGCTTCTGTTTTAGATATTTTTGACTGATGATTTCCTCTTACAGGTATTTTTAGCATTTTCTGAAATGATGTCCTATTTATTTTATAGGTGATCAAGCTAGAAACTTTTTTTTTCAATCTGGGTTACCTCAACCAGTGTTAGCACAGATATGGTGAGTATATAGGAGGGGATGGGAGAATTGCAGTTACGTCAGAGTGAAGTTTACTGGTACAGACTTGGACAGTAACTATATTTCACATTCTGGGCTTTAAAATCACCTATTTAGTTCAGTGTGCTTTCCAAAAGTCTGCAAGGCAAATACGCTTTGTAGTTTGTTTTAGCTGAGTTTTTAAGTTAAGTTTGGAAGTAGCCATCCTTCTGCAAATGGCATTTTTGAAGTTGGCTATCTGCAACACTCATTTCAAATTACTAAATGCTTTCAACTTTATTAAAACTGTACTAATACAATTGCTAAGCACAGTAATTAGTATTAAAAATCTTCTAATGGAAGAGCCTATGCAAGACTTGCAGGATTTGTTACAAAAATGAAGACGGGCATAGACTATTTCCATTGTAGTTGGAGATACAGCTTGAAAGCTTGAAATTTTTACTATTGGTGGGTTTAGACAGATCTCCATTGCTGTATATTACGCATAACAAACATTTCTACCATCTGCCAGTTTCTTCATGCAGGATTGCAGTTGTTTCTGCTCCAAATTATATGACCCTGCTAGACTTGGACATGCTAACTTGCGTAGATTATTCATAATTTACATTAATTATGTTACTACTAAAACTTTTTTTGGTGCTAGACAGAGTGAAATAATACTGTTTTTCATTCTAGTTTGGAAAAAGCAGCAGAGGGATGGATAACTTTTGAAAAATATATTGATTTTTCCTCTGTTGTTAAGTGTTTGAAAGAGAGAATAGTTCATTGCAGTTTTAAAAACTTTTTGTTGTAGTAAGGACTTCTGAAGGCAGAATCTTGCTCTCACTGGAGAAAGAAGAAAATTATTTTCTTGCAAGAAAAACAATTGCTTTGGAAATATGCATGCCTAAAAGAGGGGCTGGATTTACATGGCTTTTAAATAAACAGCTTATTTTCTTTTCAAATTATCTTCATCTTACAAATATAAAATCTGATCTGGTTATCTTATTTGTTGAAGACTCAGTGAAAGTCTTAAAAGTCTTAAAGTCCCTTTGGAACTTCTCTTGCTTCGTAGTTAAACAAAGAAAGAAGTTTTGTCTTAAACAAAGCATCCTTTCTCCAAAAATGTTCTGTAGGCATTAGCTTTAAATATGTGTTAACAAAACTAAACAGTTGTAAATGGTCTGACTAAAAATCTCTTCCTCTCTGAATTATTCAGTTTTTCAGCCTCTTGAGAGGGGGAGAATCATTCCACTAGTTCTGTAGTTGTCATAGAGACAAGACCTGAACTTGCACATTTTTTTAAATAAAGCTGAACTAAAACTTTTTCATCCTGCCGTTATAAATCATAAAAAAGCATGTTGACTTCCCTTTCTCACTGTCTCTCTTCTTTTTTTGATCATCTCTGAATTAAGCGAAGTAAATATTTAAGTAACAATCTAGATCACTTGTATTTATTCCCAGTTGGAATTAGAATAACCAAGTAGGAAAATAGTCACGTAGTGGTAGTAAGACCCCTTAAAGAAAAAAAGGAAGAAAAAAAGAAAGGAAAGCCACCTTCTTTTCCCACAACTCAAATGATTTAACTCTTTTGATCTATTAGTGAATGTTTGTTGGTAACCTGCCACAGATTACTGCTGTCCCCCAGAAACAATAGAAGTTAGACTGTTTAGTGGCGAGAAGTCCTTTGCAGCCTCTGAAGGACGTCACAATATGCTCAAGACTGCATTGAAAAATATGAATCATTGTTTATTTTAGCTCCCAGGGGTAAGATCTTGAAGTGGCATACCTGCTTTGAGGATTAATAGCAATGTTATAATGTTGTCTATCTAAATCTCTATTAACATTGATATAGATCTGTGAGTACTTCAATAGAGGGGGGAGTTCTGGAATAATAAGCCCAGAATCTCTGTGAGAGATACGAGCTGCATAAAACTTCTTTTCTATCAGTATTCTTTATTTCCTGAATAGATGGAAATTTTTTTTTTAGATAGCATTTGATTATTAGAGGGAGAGAAGGGGAGGTGCAACAGTCTTTAAGGAAGGAAAGTTGTTATTCTGAGTTAGAGCAACTTGTAAAACTCTTCAAATTAATTTTCTGATCCTAGAAATATGGAAGTGTATTTATGTTGTGTTTTGTAAGTGTTTTCCTATTCTTAATGAGTCTACTTATTCTGAATACAGTTGATATTAATCTGTCTGCAAGATAGGAGCCTAGCATTTGTTTCATAAAGGATTACTTACAGCTGTATGTAGACAAGCTTATGCTAATACAAAGTTTCATCTGTTTTGTTGGCTATGGAAGTTCTTGTATAGAAAAACACAGCTGGGAAAGGAACTGCAGGGGGGGTTGGCCTAATGAGTGATTGGCCATACTGCTTTCAAAGTTTTCTGCAGAAAAAGCAAGCCCTCTATCTCTATGAGTTTCCAAACATATTATCTCATAAGTGAGAGGATTTTGTTTGCATAAGTGAGCAGTATAAGGATTTTTGCTGTCTTATATTTTAATTTTAATTAAAATTGAATTGCCATTTTTGTATCATGAAAAATTAGTTTTCACTAGAACTTCAAGAAATGCTAGCTAGCTAGCTGAAGTATCAGTCTTCTGCCTCAAGCGCTGCTTTAAGAATCTTCTGCAGTTGGTATAATTGTTTTCTAAGATGAGACTCTAAGCAGTATCTCTTATTTTAACTTCTGCTATTAATCAAAGCTTCCCCAGAATTCATGTTCCTTAAAAATAGTACCTCCATGGTTTTTAGCATTGAGAATTCCTGTGTCCCTTCTACTTATCATTCATTTAAGAAATAAGAAGTCTCTGGGACCTCAGTGGAGCATTAGTGGAATTATTATGGTCTGTCATGACAACTTCTTTACTGTTCTACCCTTTACAAGCTTTGGAGTCTGCCAAGCTGGTAATCTATTAAGAAGCCTCTAAGTAGGCTTTGAATTGAGACTGCAATGACTCTGAAGATAACTGTTTTTAAGTAGGCAATAATCTGGCTTTCTTCTAAAGCCCTCATGAATGGTGGCCTCAAAAAGCATCTTCTGTGTAGCCTGTCTCTCTGGAATTAAATGAGAACTAAAATAATTGGTGCCATCTGGTTTTCAGGCATTTAGAGTTATTTATTTTTTCAGGACAAACTAAAGCCATTGATTGACTTACCTATTTCTGACAGATGCTTACCTCACAACCTTCTTAGATTTGTGTCCAATTGTGGGCGTGAAAGATTATGGGTGGCAATTCTGTGAGTTGTAACTATTATTATACTTGCATTGATTAAGTGACCGTGATGCTAAAGACCTAATTTCTGCCATTATGGCTGCAATATGAGATTGTATAATCTAATATGGGAATGCAAAGCTAAATAAATTCAGGTTTTTCAACTGCAAGGAGGCTTCCTTGTTTTAACACTCTGTGCTATTTTCATGGAGATAGATGTTTTGTAGGCTAATCATAAGCATATTTGATGGAAAAAACTACTCATGCTCAGTTTCTGCGCCTCATAAATGCAGAAATAATCAAGTTGTCTTTGCATTCTGCAGAAAAGAGGAGAGAAAGGAGGAGGAAAAGATCTGTAGGGGAAGAATTTTGTCAGCACCTGAAACCTAGCATTGTGATGAAGCCCACTGTATTCTCTCCTTGTTATAAACACAGGCCTGTTCTACAACATATAATAAATATTTAGTCAATGTTTAATCCTTTTAGTGCTCTGCACTGGTTCCGGCCAGACCTTAAATGAAACAAATTTAAGGACACTACATTCTTCCAAATTTCATTAGAAGCAGAACAATGAAGTTAGGTAGTGTTTACTGTCAGCCATTCACTGCATTTAAGGTGATGTTTAGTCAAAAGTTGCACTGTAATCTAACAGCATGACACTAGGTTCAGTAATTAGAAATGGAAATTTGTCCTATTTTTGCACTGAAGATTTTGTCAGACAAAAGCTGATTTTTGTTAGCATGCTGTAAAAACGTGTATAAATTCTGTAGTGTGTACATAATTTTTCTCACTGAAATTTGTGCTGTTAATTTAAATAACAAAGCCATTGATGTAGAGTAAATGAGTTGAACAGAAGATCAGATGTTAAATTAAAAGCTAGTGATGATATTGTGAATAGGAGTTCAATTAAAGCAATGAGACTGGTGCACATCAAAGTTTCTTATTACGGGACAATTAGTATTTTCTCATGTAGAGTGCAAAGACTTACTGTGTTCTAGCGGTACACTCTGTAAGTAGTGCCTGCAGAATCAAGGTCATCTACAGCATGATATTTACTTGTACTGCGTTTTCGTGGCCATGCATATGACAGGTTGAAGGACTGCCTGTGCTTTAGTAATCAAAAGACTTACATTTTATAAATCAAAGTATTTGCAGGTGTAGAAGCCACAAATAAGACTATTATAAATACAATTTGTGTAATTACTTTGCTTAAATGCAAAGATGTAAGGAACATTGTGACTATTTGAGTTGTCATTGCTAATTGGTCACTATGGAGCTGACTGACTTCTCCATATGTTGAGGAAGGAGTCATCTTTGGGAGCACCACTGACTGCTTGGAGTGCAGTCAAAAATCTACTGGAATAGGTTTATCCAGATCAATTTCTCTAGCTTTGTTCCTATGCACATCCTCAGCTTGCTAGCTATATAAGCCTGGTTTTTACTACCTGTTTCCACTGCACATTTGACAGAAGAATGGCTAAGCAAGTGTTGAACTAAACTTTCATTAAAAACCCTGCACATTTTCCCTCTTGAATATTTTTGAGTTTTCTTTAGTTGCCTTCAAAAATGTGTGGTGTCTGCTTGTAAGCATCAATTAAATGAAGCTAATTATCTGCTCCTGGTTTCCATTGTTCTTAATACTCTGTAATTTTCTAATGAGGCTTTCTTACCCTCGGTATTCATTCACTGTATGTTGGTTACTTTCTAGTGCAAAACCCACAAAAGGGAGCACTTCAGAAAATACATATAGCCATTAAGTTTCTGACGTTTTAACATTCCAAATACTGTTTGCCTCTTGAATGTTTCGGGTTTGTAAGACTTGCAGCACGTATTTCTCCCAAGTCAGACTTTCAGAAATCTAACATCGCTGTTTATAGGTGGTGACTAATGGACGTTATATGAAGTGTTTTGGTTGTAAAAAGCAAAACGTGTATGAATAAGAAAATGAAAATGTGCTGAGTAATACTCTTCCTTGTAAGCCTGAGTGATGATTTTGGGCAGCAAAAATTCTACAGCATGTTGTGGGACACTTCCATGCTATTGTTGAAAAATAGACAGGGTGGGTATTCTTAATTGTCATAGTTAAACTATGAAATCCTTCAAAATTAATTTGGGCTTTTTACAGGAATTTTAAGTTAATATAAACATTTCTGATGTAGAGAAAATTTTAGAGAGATGCAAACATGTCTTTTTGAGGTTTATACCCACTTCATTGTTTATACCCATCCTCATAAGAGGAAAAGCACTACGTACTGCATACATGCATTCTGTTCGCAGGCTTGTGGCATGTACTCCTCACTGGACAGAAAAATATGATGGAAGCTAATAAACTCTTAGTATTTTTATGTCCAGAAAAAGCCATTGCACTTCAGGATAAACAGAACATGGATAACATTAATAACAAACTGTGAGAAGCCTACTTCGTGTTTTTAACTATTTTCTAGAAGTAACTATACCTCTCATTTTGAAATACACATTTTTCATTAACAGCTGTTGCAGTCTATCCTTGCTGTTGCTTAACATTCATAGGAGAGAGGCTCCTCTGCCTTCACTAGGGTTCTCCCACTTGTCTCTACAAGTTGCGTGAAGATAAAAACATTACATCTTCCACTTAAACTTAGCCTGCCGATACATCCCGAGGTACCAGTGTGTTGCTTGCTCTTCCTGGAAGAGTGATCAGAAGCTGAGACTCTAGAACAGTGTTGTTCTGCAAGGAAGAGGAGGTACCCATTCCAAATTGGTACTTCTCTTGGTCTAGGTTTGCCATGCTGGCCTTCCCTCTTCCTTCTGCTGGTTGGACTACCATATATCAAGTCTGACGGCTACATTAGGATCTTTTTAACTGATTATTTGTCAAATGAACCACATTCTAAGGGATCATGACTGAAACTTGAATCCAAATCACATTATGCTATGTGGATCCCAGAATCAGTTTTGACTAAATTTAGGCTTCCAAAGACTTGCTGGTAGTGGGATTAGAGGAAGATTTAAAGTTACCGAAGAGCCCGCAGATTTTACATGTAAATTAAACTTTGCTGTGATACGAAGCTTCAGGAAGCAACACCTAGAAGTTCTCACAGCCAAAACTTGTTCTTCAATGAAGTATGTATAGTAATTCAACATCTTTCAGGGAGTGGTGCAATGCATACTTTTCTTTTTAACTGTAAGCCTCAGAGTCTACGGTTTCCTCACCAGACTTTCTTTTTCTTCTTTAAATACTACTGCCAGATTTTCAGTAGTTGTATTTAGCCTCGTGACATCAAAATTGATAGATTAAGACAGATACACGGCTTAAAATGCTGTCTTACAAGTATTGGGAAGGGTTGGAGTGTCTCTGTTTTTGGGGAAATGCTACTGGTGATCTAAACCAGGGGATACTCTTAAGGTGTATGGTTCACCTGTGGCAACCACTACTGGGATCTGCCTCTTCTTTGATATTTTTTTTTTTTTCCCCCCCTAGGGTTTTTTTGGTTGTGGTGGGAGGGTTTTCTTCTTGTGAATGCTTTGCCACTGCATTTACTTGGCTGTCTACTTATTTAAGTATCAGTTATAAATAACTGTCAATTTATTGCAGTAATTTTTTGATAACTTTTCATATACTTGCATGAAAGCTTTCCTTGAGAGGGATTTGATGAGAAATAAAGCTCTAGCTTAACTAGACTGCCTGGGTCCTTTGTGTTGTCATGTCCATGACATGTAAATGTACGCATGAACTTAAAAATATATTATTCCAATACTGAAGTGCATTCTTAATTCTTCAAATGAATGCAAAGAAATAAGCATAATGTTTAAAACTAAGTTTACAACTGATTACATTATTAATACGCATTTACTCTGGGTTTTGGTTTGCACTTGCAGGAACTAACATTTTTCTTCCTGCTTCTCTCCCCCCCAACCTCCCAACCCTATTCCCTGCTGAGCATTGTTTTCTTAACCATCAAATGAAGAAACAAAAAGAAGACTGTTTAAGTCAGACTACTTTACATGAAAGCCTATTCAAGGTCTAGGCTCAATGTTTTATCTTGAGTACTATTGTTCAACTGAAAACACATTTGTACACTTGCAGATGTAATGGTGTTCAGTAAAGTGCACAGATTTAAAGAACATTTTATTTTAAACGTAGCTAAAGTACAGATTTGCAGGCTAAGTCATTTGATTCCCTGTAATGCTTTTGTAGTACCATGTAGTTTCATTTGTGTGATTTTTGCAAAGTTTTTGTAGAACTACATTAATCCTTCTTCTCTAGATGCTTCACTGTAATTCCCCTAAGAGTTGAAAAGCAACTTTGAAAATATTTATTAATCACTCCAAGAAAGAAATCAAGAAACTCTCGGTTTAAACAGTGTCTTGTTTCATGACCATTTTTAGTCTGGCAAGAATATTTTGAGTGGAAATTAATTAGTCTTGAATATATATGCCTGTGTGTGCATGTTCCTAGGTCAGTTCCTGAAGTTCATAATTTAAGAATCTAATTGTGAAAATCGTGTATTTTGTAGGGCTCTAGCTGACATGAACAATGATGGGAGGATGGATCAGTTGGAGTTTTCAATAGCTATGAAACTTATCAAATTAAAACTACAAGGTTATCAACTCCCATCTGCACTGCCTCCTGTCATGAAGCAGCCACCTATTGCTCTGCCTAGTGCACCAGGATTTGGTAAGCTCCTTGTTTTCCTCCTTGTTAGCTTGTATTGTAGCAAGCTAAGTTGAATTTGATTGTTTTGCAGTTTCCAGAAGAAACTTTTAGGAAAAAGTTCTTCTAAAAGTACGTGGACTCAAAAGCAAATGCTTTCACATGCATGCACATGCTCAAAAAAAAATGTCAATGAGCTTTTAGCACCCAGCCATATTGAATAACAGAAGCTGAGGCCCTGTTTGCTTCAGGTCTTATACTGCTCCGCATCTGTTCCAAACACAAGTGTTTGCGGGGGAAAAAAGATGGATCAGGTAGCAGGGTTAGTGCATTCCAAAGTGATGGAGTTTTTATTTAAGCTATTGTTATTTATCTCTATTTTTCATGAAGGGATCTCCAGCTTTGGCAAGATTAGCTATGTTTTTCTTGACTTTTTACAACTCATGATAGTAATGCACCCCTCTGCTTTTATTTTATGAACAATGCTGCACTGGTATTAGCTAGAAGAGCTGCTGAATCAGTTCTCGTGGTTAGTACTGCCAAGGTCACCATCATTTCAAGGAAAAGAGTAGGGAAAATGGGATAGTGGGAGGAAAATAACAAAATGAAGCTGAACCTCATGTTTGACACCTTGATGTTCTGCTGTATTCTGTAGTGAGAGGTTCTTTACCTTTCTGTTTTAGTTGTTGCTGTGACTCAAGTTGATTGGTACCTGAGAATCACGGCTGTCCTTAAGAAAAGGGAATAGTACATTTGATGAACTGTGTGCAACTGTTGTTTGATCAGTTGTCGCTTACACAAGTTTTACAAACAGTTTTATTTTTGACTGTTAGAAATCGGTGAAATTGAACAGAACAAGTACTGGTTTAAATGAGAAAAGGCATAATAAAGTCAAGCCCCCAAGAAAACCAGTAAAATCTGTGATTTTCTTTTTTCTCATTCAGTGTAGGCTTGATCTCAGCTGTTTGTACACAGCCTCATTCTTCCCATTGGCATGACTGGACCTCCTTAACCTCCCTGTTATCCATGCAACTGTGCTTACACCTAAAATACCTCATTACTGTGCTTTATCCTATTAGCTTTGCACTGTTTCATCTTGACAATAGGCTGCAAGCACTTATCCTGAAGCTTGTTCTTTTCAGCTGTGGCTAAATGTAGGCTTTGGGTTCATTACTCACTGGAAGTTGACAGTGCTGCTCTTCATTTAGTTCAAGGCAAACAATTCTTTTCTTCAGCAAATGCTAATAGACTTTTTTGGTCAGTGTTGCATCCAGTGTGATCTTATATGCATACATTATAAAGTGGTATATTGTTCCCTCTGCATTGTTTTATGTTCCCCTGCCATGCTAATGGTGCAGCGGACTGTAAGAATTCTTTCAAGGGGTGTGTGGAAGTTTCCATTTCAATTTGCTCTTTAATTCTGCATTTACTGCTGCGTTGCAGGCTGCAGTTAAATTGTTCTGTCATACTAGGAGTCTCTAAATGAGGAAAAACTTTCTCCTTTTTTTGCCCATAGGTATTGGGGGCATTGCCAGCATGCCATCCCTTACAACTGTTGCCCCAGTGCCAATGGCATCTATTCCAGTAGTAGGAATGTCTCCACCATTAGTATCTTCTGTTCCTGCAGCAGGAGTACCTCCCCTGGCTAATGGAGCTCCTGCTGTTATACAGCCTCTGCCTGCTTTTGCTCATCCTGGTATGCTACATACTGAGACTCTGTTTACTCTCTTGCTATTAACAAACTATTTTGCCATTTTCTTTGGATCCAGAGAACAGTAGACATGGAATTAGTCATTCTAACTTACTTTAAAGAATGACTTTAAGTAAGGACTGTACTTTGGTTTAGCCCAGTGTAATTGGTAAGCAAACTCGTATAAAAGTTAAAAGAAGAAACATGAACATACCATACTGTAATAGTCAGTCATGTTGAGCAAAATATTAACCCTGTTATAACAGCAGTGTGATAAATCTAGCTTGCCAATAAACTGTTGCCTAGAAATCGGTCCATTCCTATCTATTTATAACTATTGAAGTGCTGCTATTTGTTGGGATTACTTTAAAATACTGGAATACATGAATCACAATATAATTTGATATCAACAGTGTGTGCATAAAACTGCAAAAGTAAAAAGACATGAGAGAAATGCCTGTGTGTTTTCACCTATTTTGTTAGACACTGTTAATTTATCTTAATATTTTTAAAAGGGATACCATCAAAAGAACCATAATGCTTGTATTTGATGTTAGGAACTAAATGAATTCCATTGAAATTCTACAATTTAAAATGCTAATGTTAATAAATACATGTATTCTCTTATTTACAGCCACATTGCCAAAGAGTTCTTCCTTTAGTAGATCTGGTCCAGGATCGCAGCTAAATGCAAAACTGCAAAAGGCACAATCGTTTGATGTGGCTAGGTAAGTTGGTATGGAATGAGTGTATGTGTGTATCTGGTTCCCTAGAGTTAGAAAAACTACTTCTCTTTCGCAAAGCTGTTTTCTAAAATAATATTTACCTGCAGAAATA